AACGGCAGCGACCAAGGGCCTGGCTATGCTTAAGCTGACAAAAGTGTGACGATGGCCGGCTAGGACCGACCTCCAGCATGATTACCTACAGAAATAGACATAACATAGAGTGAGCCAGGCTCAGTGAACAATAGTATTTAAGTGCTTCGATACATTATTAACATTGTAATACATATAAAAGTGTAAGTAATGCGGAGATCATGTAGCGAGTCTGAATTTGTACACATTTACCGAATAACTTTATCGGTTCACAGTCTCATAGATTGGCCCTTGGCCTAATGGGTTCACACGTTCACAACTTAGCCTTTGGCTTCATAATTCCATAACTTAGAATCATAGTTTCACAATTTGGCCCTCGGCCTCTTAAATCCACATTTCACAAGTTGGCTCTCGGCCTCATGGATTCACATTTCACAAGTTGGCTCTCGGTCTCATGGATTCACATTTCAAAAGTTCTTTCGATGTTTCCATAGTTCACATTGGGTCTCAATTTTATGACTTCACAAGTTCTTTTGGTACTTTCACAACTTCACACTGTTTCTTAATTTTATAACCTCACATTTCTTTCCACGTGGCATATATATATATTAAGTACAATGTTAATAACAATAATACTTAGCGAGATTAAAGTACATCTAGTACTATTACTCACTGTGTTGCGGTGGGGCACTTGATCCTCTTGAAGCGTGTCCTACACATGCACAAGATACACATTAGTTTCCCTCTTTCTTGTTAAATCAATTCTTGACTCTTTTTTCTTCGATTAATTTAATGAACATCATAACAATATCAATTGCAGGTTGTGACAATATTAGAGGGTCCAACACGCAAAACGAAGTGACCCGTTTTTTCCAGCCTGAGCCGCACGTGCGGCTAGGATTCCCGCACGTGCGGCAGTGATGCCCCGCAATTGCCTTTTTAGCAGTGTTGAACTCCAAAATTTGCCATTTTTCCCGCACGTGCTGCCATGACTCCTGCACGTGCGGCTGGGGCTCCCGCGCGTGCGGCCTTGGACCCCGCACGTGCGGCGATTCTGCACAAAAAGGTCCGAAAATTCTGCACAACTCCATCCTTTTGCAAATATGTTTAGGGCCTCAAAACTTAACTATGAATTGCTAATGTAAAGGCTCGAATGCATGTGAATAAGCATCAAAATACATACTTCATTTGAATATAAGTTAAATCATTAATCCACACTCATAAACACTCCCCATTTCATGAGATTCCTAACTTTACACACATATATAGACACATATACACAAAGCCATGTCAAATAATAAAAGTCAAGCAACTTAATTGAGTCATAGCTATTTTAAATTAAGTCAAAACATTCACATTAACTTTTTACACACCCTTAGAACCACAATTCCAACCCTTGAGTGCCAGGATTTTGAGTATACCTCTCACTATTGGGGAAGAAGGAGAGTTGTAGGAGTTAATTAATATAACATCTGCATACCTTGTACTAAAGTTTCTCAACTCCCCACCTTCTACCCTTCAACCTTTCTCTCCTCTAAGCTTTTCTCTCTAGAGCCATGTATTGAGTTAGGAAGTTGTTTTTGTTTTATCAAGTGGTCAAGGAACACACACATACATATATATATATATATATATATAAGGAGGAAATAGGACAAAAATTAATCGTTTAATCGTCCCAAATTGAAATTTCACAAAAATGCTCAATATTATTTAAAAATTATGCTGATTCCAATTGCGTAATCACTTTCGGATTATTAAGCCTCTAAGGCCCTTAATTTCTGTTTCTAATTGTCACAGATACTATCCTTACCTAACAGAGACAAGTTCAATTCATAAAATATACATACTTAAACTTAATTTCCCATGAAGTTTCACAGTAAGCATTTGAAAGGACATAATCAAAGATTTAAAATATCTCAGAATCACATACGAGGGTCAGGTTATTACACTCTCCCCCCTTTAAATAAGTTTGGTCCCTCAAACTTGCTTTTACCTTAAAACGGGAACAAATGCGGGTATTGATGTTGCATTTCCTCCCCATTTTCCCAAGTTGCCTCGGTCCCGTAATGCTCTTGCCACTCTACTTTTACCATTGAGATTTCTCGATTGTGTAACTGCTTTACTTGTCGATCCAAAATTCGTAGTGGTTTTTCTTCATAGTTTAGTTTGTCATCTAACACAATGTAGTGGTGATCTATGACATGAGATGGATCGGGCAGGTATCCTCGAAGCATAGAGACATGGAATACGTTGTGTACTTGACTCATGTTCGGTGGGAGGGCCACTCGGTAAGCTACCGGGCTTACTCTTTCCAGAATTTGAAATGGACCAACATACCGGGGTGTTAACTTACCCCTTTTTCCAAATCTCGGATGCCCTTTCAATAGGGTGATTTTCACGAACACATGACTATCCACCTCAAATTCCAAATCCCTTCGTCGATTATCCGCATAACTCTTCTGTCTGCTTTGAGCCGTTTTCAATCTTTCCCGGATAATTTTAACATTTTCAGTCGTTAATTGCACAATTTCAGGTCCTAGCAATGCTCTATCTCCAACTTCGGCCCAACATACCGGGGAACGACATGGTCTTCTATATAGGGCTTCATGAGGTGCCATTTCAATACTCGAATGGTAACTATTGTTGTATGCAAATTCTATCAACGGTAGATGGGTTTCCCAACTTTCTTGAAAATCTAGCACACACATTCGGAGCATATCTTCTAGAGTCTGTATCGTTCTCTTGGATTGACCGTCGATCTGAGGGTGAAAGGCTGTGCTGAACTTAAGTTTCGTATCCATGGCTTCCTACAGACTTTGCCAAAATCTCGAAACGAACTTGGGGTCCCTATCCGACACAATTGAAATTGGAACGTCGTGAAGTCTTACAATTTCATTTACATAAAGTATTGCAAGCTTATCTGCATTATATTGAGTTTTCACTGGCAGGAAATGAGCAGACTTAGTTAACCGGTCTACAATGACCCATATCGAATTCATGCCTCGACGTGTCCGTAGTAACCCCACGACAAAATCCATGGTCAAATGTTCCCATTTCCATTCCGGAATTGGAATGGGTTGTAATAAGCCTGCTGGTCTTTGATGTTCCGCTTTTACTTGCTGACATTGCAAACACTTAGAAACGAACTCCGCGATTTCTTTTTTCATACCCGGCCACCAAAAATTTTGCTTCAAATCCCGGTACATCTTAGTACTTCCCGGATGCATTGAAAATCTCGAGGCATGTGCTTCTTCCATCAATTTTTGTTTAAGTTCCAGCACATTGGGGACACATATTCGGTTTTGGAACTTAAGCACCGAATCCATAAAGTTGAACCCCGGTTTTGGTTTCGTCTCTAACTCATTAAATATCTTCTTTAGAGTGTCATCCTCCATTTGATGTAACTTAATCTCTTCCAATAAAGTCGGTTGAGCCATTATTGATGTTAGTACTGCCTCCGGTCCACGTACTACAAGGTCCACATTCATTTTATCTAATTCAATCTTCAGCTCCTTTTTCTCCGTCAATAGGTTTGCCAAATCTCCCGTATTCTTCCGACTAAGTGCGTCCGCAACTGTGTTGGCTTTACTAGGATGGTAATGGATCTGTAAGTCATAATCTTTAATTAACTCTAACCATCGCCGCTGCCGCATATTCAATTCCTTCTGAGTAAAAAGGTACTTGAGACTTTTGTGATCGGTGTAGACTTCGCAGGTCGTGCCATAGAGATAGTGCCGCCATATTTTCAAAGCAAAAACTACTGCCGCTAATTCTAGGTTATGTGTGGGATAATTCCTCTCGTGGGGTTTTAGTTGTCGGGAGGCATAAGCGATAACGCGTCCATTTTGCATAAGTACACAACCAAGCCCTTTGTGTGAAGCATCACTGTAGATGATAAACCCTTCGGTACCGGATGGTAAGGCCAGAACTGGTGCTGTAGTCAACTTTGTTTTCAATTCTTGGAAAGCGAATTCCCGTCCCTCTGACCATTCAAACGCAACTCCCTTTCGAGTCAATTGTGTAAGCGGCACAGCGATTTTGGAGAAATTTTGAACAAACCTCCTGTAATACCCAGCTAATCCCATGAAACTACGCACCTCAGTTACGTTGGTAGGAGTTGGCCAATTCACAATCGCCTCAATTTTGTGCAGATCAACAGAGACTCCCTCCTTGGTTACTGCATGCCCCAGAAATGCCACCTCTTGTAGCCAGAATTCACATTTCTTTAGCTTTGCATACAATTTCTTCTCCCGGAGTGTTTGAAGGATTAGGCAAAGATGATCCTCGTGAGCCTCTGCACTCTTTGAGTATATAAGAATATCATCGATGAAGACTACCACAAACTCATCCAGGTAAGGCTTAAACACACGATTCATTAAATCCATAAATGCTGCTGGTGCGTTAGTAACTCCAAAGGGCATAACTAGAAATTCGTAATGGCCGTACTGAGTGCGAAAAGCTGGCTTCTCCACATCATCAGCTTTAACCTTCAATTGATGGTATCCAAACCGTAGGTCAATTTTTGAGAAAACTTGTGCCCCTTGTAGTTGGTCAAATAGATCATCAATCCGTGGTAAGGGGTACTTGTTTTTTATTGTTACTTTATTGAGTTCCCTATAATCGATACGTAGCTGAAGTGTTCCGTCCTTCTTTTTCACAAATAAAACTGGCGCACCCCAAGGAGATACACTCGGACGGATAAATCCTTTATCAAGCAAATCCTGTAATTGAATCTTTAATTCTTTCATTTCAGCTGGCGACATCCTATACGGAGTCTTGGAGATAGGTTGAGTTCCTGGCGCCACATCAATGATAAACTCAATTTCACGGTCTCCTAATTGGCCTGGCAATTCTTCGGGAAAAACATCCAGAAATTCACGAACCACTGGAATCACGTCAATATCCCCATTCATCACTTGCCCCTCCAAAATACTACATAAATACCCCCGACATCCTTTTTGAATCAACTTACAAGCCTTTATTGCCAAAATCAGATAAGGTGGCGAAGTTACTTCCTGTCCCTAAACAATAGACTCTGCTTGGCCCGGAGGGTAGAAATTGATTTGCTTAGTCAAGCAGTTTATAATTGCACCATAATCACTCAGCCAATCCATTCCCAGAATAACATCAAAATAGGTCATGTCGAGAGGTAATAGATTAGCATACACCCAAATATCCCCAAGTTGAAGTTCACAAGCTAAGTACACAGAAGTGCAGAGCATAGAATCTCCCAAAGGAGAAGACACACACAACATATAAGACAGATTCTCCTCAATTTTATCTAAATGAGGAGCAAATAATTTCGACACAAAAGAGTGGGTGGAGCCGGAATCAAACAATACATGCGCAGAATGACCATGAACAATAAATGTACCTGACACCACTGTTGCCGCGTTTTGTACATCACCTGGAACTAATGCGAACACCCTACCTTGCCTTGCAGTATCTTGATTATTCGTAGGTTTAGTGGCTGCCTTTGCGTTAGGGGTTGGTGTAGATCCCGCGGAACTAGTGGCAGTCCTAGTGCCCTTTTGTTGAGTCCATTGTGGGCAATCCCCTACCAAATGACCCGTTTTACCACACTTAAAACAAGCTCCAGTCTTCCAGTGGCAAATCCGACGATGCAGCCTTCCACAGTCTGGACACACAGGACTGGAGTTTTGAGCAGGGGTGGTGGTGCTAGAGTTCCCTGAATTAAGCTTCTTATGTGGTGGCGTAACTGCTCCATTTGACCATTGATTGTTCTACCTCTTCCCTTTCCACTCGGAAATCCGATTCTGCACAGTAAGATTTCCTTCTGCTATAATGGCCCTTTCTAGTACATCAACATATGTAGGTAGCTTTAACATATTGACCTGGTCTAAAATAGAACTCCGTAATCCCCCTTCAAATTTTCGTGCCTTCTTATAGTCCGTATCCACCATATGAGGCGCAAATCGAGCTAGTTCTGCAAATTGGGCGTCATATTCAGCAACAGTCTTACTTCCTTGTCTAAGGGTCTCAAATTCAGTCACTTTTTTATCTCGCATACTTTGGGGGAAGTACTTATCATAGAACAACTCCAAAAATCTATCCCATGTTAAGCCCTGATGCACCGTTCTCGTGAGAATCCACCATCTTCGCGCCTCGTCTTCAAGAGTAAAGGCGGCAAGTTGCACTTTCTGGACTTTAGTACATGGAAATACTTCGAACAATTTCTCTATTCCCAGTACCCATGCTTCAGCTTTCATCGGCTCTATTCCTCCGTTAAATGACGGTGGTTTCATCTTTTTAAACACCTTTGTGAGTGTAATGGTTCGGTCCTCAACACGAAAATCTTGTACTACAGGTGGAGGTACCGGTGGCAGTGGTGGTTGCGGTTGTTGCTGTTGTTGCCTTAAGGTCTCCGCCATTTCCATCATCATTCTTTCCATTCAGTCTAACTGTGCTGCAGTAGCATCTTCTGGATCTTCTGCCCTTGTTCTCACCATAACCTGCACATCATTTAAGTATATCCAATAAACATAATTCAAATTGTTAGCATTAGTACAGTACACTAAACGTTGCCGTCGATTTCTCATACGTTCTAGGATGTCATGCATGATGCCTAAGTCTTTTCTAGACATCCTAAGGCTCAATGGATTCGTGTGTGAGATAGCAACTCGTGCTCTGATACCACTCTGTCACGCCCCAACCCTGCCCCTAAAAGATCGGGCATGACCTGTGCGGAAGTAGACACTAAACCTGGTATAAATATATAACATAGGGGCCTGAACGGAAGCATTGCCGACAAAGATAATATAAGAAAGTATGACATCCAATGAGCTACCACTATCATGCTAGGATCACAAAAACCGCATAAGAAGAATAGATATAAGGGGCACACATTTGAGAACTAGATATTTATATATAAATATACATACATAAGCATATACAGAACCAGCCCCAAGATTGGGCATAGAACAAAAATATTATATACATTACCCCCCCTAAGCCAATAACAAAAGTATACGCCATGATCTAGCAAAACATTACATTAAAGAACGGCTGCGACCAAGGGCCTGGCTATGCTTAGGCTGACAAAAGTATGACGGTGGCCGGCTAGGACCGACCTCCAGCTTGATTACCTACAGAAATAGACATAACATAGAGTGAGCCAGGCTCAGTGAACAATAGTATTTAAGTGCTTCGATACATTATTAACATTGTAACACATATAAAAGTGTAAGTAATGCGGAGATCATGTAGCGAGTTTGAATTTGCACACATTTACCGAATAACTTTATCGGTTCACAGTCTCATAGATTGGCCCTTGGCCTAATGGGTTCACACGTTCACAACTTAGCCTTTGGCTTCATAATTCCATAACTTAGAATCATAGTTTCACAATTTGGCCCTCGGCCTCTTAAATCCACATTTCACAAGTTGGCACTCGGCCTCATGGATTCACATTTCACAAGTTGGCTCTCGGTCTCATGGATTCACATTTCACAAGTTCTTTCGATGTTTCCATAGTTCACACTGACTCTCAATTTTATGACTTCACAAGTTCTTTTGGTACTTTCACAACTTCACACTGTTTCTTAATTTTATAACCTCACATTTCTTTCCACGTGGCATATATATATTAAGTACAATGTTAATAACAATAATACTTTGCGAGATTAAAGTACATCTTGTACTATTACTCACTGTGTTGCGGCGGGGCACTTGATCCTCTTGAAGCGTGTCCTACACATGCACAAGATACACATTAGTTTCCCTCTTTCTTGTTAAATCAATTCTTGACTCATTTTTCTTCGATTAATTTAATGAACATCATAACAATATCAATTGCAGGTTGTGACAATATTAGAGGGTCCAACACGCAAAACGGAGCGACCCGTTTTTCCCAGCCTGAGCCGCACGTGCGGCTAGGATTCCCGCACGTGCGGCAAAACCTCCCGCACGTGCGGCAATGATGCCCCGCACGTGCCTTTTTAGCAGTGTTGAACTCCAAAATTTTCCATTTTTCCCGCACGTGCGGCCATGACTCCCGCACGTGCGGCTGGGGCTCCCGCACGTACAGCCTTGGACCCCGCACGTGCGGCGATTCTGCACAAAAAGGTCCGAAAATTCTGCACAACTCCATCCTTTTGCAAATATGTTTAGGGCCTCAAAACTTAACTATAAATTGCTAATGTAAAGGCTCAAATGCATGTGAATAAGCATCAAAATACATACTTCATTTGAATATAAGTTAAATCATTAATCCACACTCATAAACACTCCCCATTTCATGAGATTCCTAACTTTACACACATATATAGACACATATACACAAAGCCATGTCAAATAATAAAAGTCAAGCAACTCAATTGAGTTATAGCTATTTTAAATTAAGTCAAAACATTCACATTAACTTCTTACACACCCTTAGAACCACAATTCCAACCCTTGAGTGCCAGGATTTTGAGTATACTTGTCACTATTGGAGAAGAAGGAGAGTTGTAGGAGTTAATTAATATAACATCTACATACCTTGTGCTAAAGTTTCTCAACTCCCCACCTTCTACCCTTCAACCTTTCTCTCCTCTAAGCTTTTCTCTCCAGAGCCATGTATTGAGTTAGGAAGTTGTTTTTGTTTTATCAAGTGGTCAAGGAACACACACACACACACATATATATATATATATATATATATATAAGGAGAGAATAGGACAAAAATTAATCGTTTAATCGTCCCAAATTGAAATTTCACAAAAATGCTCAATATGACTTAAAAATTATGCCGATTCCAATTGCGTAATCACTTTCGGATTATTAAGCCTCTAAGGCCCTTAATTTCTGTTTCTAATTGCCACAGATACTATCCTTACCTAACAGATATAAGTTCAATTCATAAAATATACATACTTAAACTTAATTTCCCATGAAGTTTCACAGTAAGCATTTGAAGGGCACAATCAAAGATTTAAAATATCTCAGAATCACGTACGACCGTCAGGTTATTACACATATCATACTTCCTGCTACTGTTATTGCTATTCTTGTATCTATTCCTGATGCTTTTTTTAATTATTTAGCATAATTTTAGTTTTATAATTGTCGTTGCCATGATAAAATATTTGTTTGATGGGAGTTTTATACTTACTACATGTTGAACCATATATTTATTTACTAGATATTATATTTGTTTAAGTTATATTTCAAAAAAAATTAGACAAATTAATGTTGAACAATTTATGATAGGTTGGCTTTTTCTGAAAATTTTATATGATTTTATTTGTGGAGAAATTATGTGCGAATCGTAATTTCAAGCCAAACCGAACAATATTTAAAAAAATTTGTTTGGACTAATTTTATAATTTAAATAGATTGATTTAATTTCATAATTAGTCCTGATTTTACCCTCAAACCGAACCGATCCAAATTATACTCATCTCTAAAAAGGCGCAAACCCATTTTCTGTTAAATTTCCATCTTTATGTTCTTCAATAACTCCCACATCATCTATGGAATATTCATTCTAACCAACTTCTCTCCACTTGCAATTAAATCTTATTACAAGAGTAGTGTGGTTTATCTCTTTCAACATAAAGGCCTTCCAAAGAAACTCCTTACTACGTTGCACACATCAATACCCACGACATTCCAATATTGCTAATAAAAAAACCCCAGGACACCATTCAATCTAGATGCCTTTAGAGAGCCAAGCTGAAAGACTGCACCCTTAATCTCCATATCTGAAACTTCGTGAACCAAGCCTTCATTCATATCATTTGAAATAACGAGATCTAGGACATCAAGAGCTTTCTCGGGTTGGCATTGTGTCTTGAAGAAAATTACTTAAAAAGATGCTTGTCAATTTCCTTTTCTTAGGATAACCACAATCTATCTTCCGTTTGCAGTTTTAGCAGTTGATTTCTTTGTTGTCTCTGGGTAATAGTCGCATGGAAGAAAACTGAGTTTTTATCGCCGAATTGTAACCAACGAAGCCTAGAACGTTGGTGAAGATACATTTCTTCCCTAAGCAACACTACCTCGATTTCGGACTAACTGTGACTACTTGGCCAAACTTTCCGCAGACGGTTGTAGCCCCAGAACTATAGCTAGCTAGCTGATATTGTGGAGCTGCCAATTGAACCTGCCCATTCCTAAACTCCTATTTGCTCATTTTTTGTAGTCCCCACTTGCAAACTCTTGAGTCGTTGAGTGAGTTGGAACATTGGAGACCCCATCTAAACACCCTCTCAAGCCTGTTGGATGGTTAGAACACATTTCGGGCTAGTTGCCCACATAGACTCAAATTTGAAACATTTAGGATTTTGGCGATATGCAACAATTTAGAATTAGAGGACAATGATTAGACCCTAAACACACATCATGGAGGACTTGTGCATAAGGAAAGAGAGACTGAAATTGGATTTAAAATATAAGAACCGAACTCTTCATTTTAAAACATTAGAAGCCAAAGTAAAACTTAAGTCTAATTACATGGGTTAAAAGTGTAATTAATGAAAATTTTTAATTTTTTTCTTGAATTTTAAATGTTGGGTGAGAGTAGGATAACATTAAGAGTGGTGCTATTAACATCCTATGAATTTATTTGGAACCCCACTTATAAATTTTGAAATCCTTAAAAAAAAAAATTCCCTCCTCAAAGAATACCAAAATTAACCTTGTGAAAACTTACACCCATTGAATGCCCCCCACACCACAAAAAAAATGGTAACAAAGCCCACGAAGAAGAAGAAGCAATGTGATTACTGTCTCTGCTGCCCCATCTACTATTGTCAGTATGCTCTTTCTCTCTCTCTCTCTCTCTCTATATATATATATATATACATAATTTCTTAGTTTTCTCATAATAATCTTCTCTTGCGGAAAAAAAAATTATAATAATTGGTTTAGTTTTCTCAGTAAAACAGGTTTGAACCTATGAATAATGTTCGATTACTTGTTTCCAAACAAATAATAAATGTTCGGTTACCAGTTCTCGAACAAATAAACAATGTTCGGGGTCTGTGTTTCCTAATTTCAATCATATGTTCGGGAGTTCAGTCTCAAAAAAATGTCGAGCAAATTTTATTATTTTTACTATTTTTTTCAAGAAACTTACTCTTATAAGGCCAATATCTTCTGAACTAAGAACAACATCAAAGCTATGAATTTTATCTAAGTTTTTACTGTTGTACTCCTCTCATCTTACGGAGTTGTGGTTGTCAGAAAAATTTTAACTCATTGTCATTGCCGAAGAAGTGTAGGTAATCAAATAGTTGCCACCGTTACCGCCGGAATATTGCCG